GACCTTACATTGTATCAATAAATGAAAATCCATTCCAAAACAAATTATTCATATCTATACCATAATCTCCTTTTTACCTTTAACAAGATTGGTTGTGGTCATTAACCATTTATAACCTACCCCATTTAAATGAAAACAAGCATTTATAAATATCATTTGGGAATTTGGGTGTTGTTCTTTCCAAACTGCTTCCTGCTGGTAGGGGGCGCTGTCATGGGAGTCCTTAGAAGATGAAGAAATCCTGGCTGTAGTCTGCAAGGCTTGTTTAAGCTGTTTTGAATGTAGGATCACCTGGTACTCTGTTTCAGGCGGTCTGGCTTGATCAAACCACATTAGTCTGGAATGAATCCACAGCTTTTCATTTTCTGTGGAAACAAAAATAGAAATCCTTTTCCCCCAGTAACTTGTCCTTAGACTTAAATTTTGGAGTCAAAGTTTAAAATATATAAATTGAATTAATCCTGCAGTATTGTTTTTATCAGTTGTTATTTCCTCAGCAGTCAATCAATTTAAAGACAACAGAATAGCATATAGTATCCACAGTTTTTCTGTGCTTTCTACCTTGTGGCTTTTTTTATTACTCAGTTTCTTTTAGTTTTTATTGTTTCATTTTTTGAGACAGGGTTTCTTTGTGTAACTTTTATCTGTCCTGGAATTTATTCTGTATACCAGATTTACTTTACAATCACAGAGATCTGCTTGCCTCTGTCTCCCAAGTGCTGGGATTAAAGGCGTGTGCCACCACACCAAGCTCCTTGCTGTATTTTTTAAACCATTTTATTCCTTTTCTCTCCCAAGCCTACATATATTTTAAAACATACTGTAAACCTTAGGCGCTTTTTCTCAATGTGAATCTGTCTTTACTATAAATTTTTATCTTTTTTGGCTACAAGTCTTTATCTAGTAAACAACAACATTGCTAAAATGAAAGTCATAGCTGTGTTAGCCGTGGTCTTATCCAAGATGGCGGCGGGTACTTTTACCACCAGAACTGAGAGCTGTGTTCACTGCCTCGGTCTACGCTGCCATCCAGCAGCATGCTGCTGGCTTGGAGATGTGGTTACTGCCATTGCCAGCCCTCGTACACACCAATGAATTGTTAGCAGCACTTCTTAAAAGCCGTGCAGTTTTTTTTTTGCCGCTTATGCTGAGTCAGGAAACCTCCCTTAAAAGAGTCACACAAATATCTGCTTGTCTCTCGCAAAACAGAGTCCAACCGAGAAAAATGCTGCTACCAAGAAACCTTGCTTGTCTCTGTTCTTTTGTTTCTAAAACCCTTTTTTAAGCTTTTGTGTAATTTAAGTGTAATTTTAAGTGTAAATTCTTATTAGACACGCGGGTGTCATATGTAAGGAGTAGTTTTTTTCTGCCGCCGGCCCCACCGCCATGCCAGCCCCAATTAACACACAGAGACTCTGTATTTGATATAATGCTGTTGGCCAGGTACTAGTTTCTTATCGGCTAGCTCTGTCTTAATTATTAACCCATTTCTATTACTCTAAGTATTTCCACGTGGTTTCATCTTACCAGGGAGTGTGGCCATCATCTCATCTCCCCAGTCTCTCCATGTTGACTCCTCCTTACTACTTCCTTTTTCCTCCTAGTCTCCTAGTCCCACCTATCTTGCTTTCCTATTGGCCAACAGTGCTTTATTCATTAGCCAGTATGAGAAACATATTTACAGATTTACAGAATGACATCTCCCATCACATATACATCTTTTTTTTTTTTTTTTTTTGGTTTTTCAAGACAGGATTTATCTGTATTCTTTTGAACCTGTCCTGGAACTTGCTCTGTAGACCAGACTGACCTCAACTTCACAGAATCCGCCAGCCTCTTCCTCCCAAGTGCTGGGATTAAAGGCGTGCACTACTAAAATTTTAAAACAACAGAAAGGAAGCTCAAAATAAAGCAGTATAATAATGGCAATCCAAGCACCTGTTTCAAATATTTTTTTATTTAAAGTGTGTGTGTGTGTGTGTGTGTGTGTGTGTGTAGAAGAGCTTTACATCTTCATATTGTTTGCTCCTGGAATAAGAGTAGCCATGCAGTTCTGGCGTGTGCCGTGACTTAAGCCTGCCTGACACCACCTTTAATTTTTGGCAACCAGATATCATGAGATTAGTTTTGAATGTCTTGTCTGAGTTGTGGTTATGAGCTGGCCTTGAATGCTGTCCTGATGGTCTGAAATAAGGTCTGTGAGTCCTTGCAGAATTTGCCCAAATTGGAACATTTGTGAGTCACAGCTGGAATCTGTATCATTCACAAGTAACACCCCATTATCACAGTCCAGAGGTTGCTCACCCCAGCAGCTGATTTCAGGTAGTAAATATGCAAAAATGTAACTGATCTTGTTCAATGAATTATACTAGAAACCTTGTTAAACACTTTTTCACTTCTATTGCATTTCTGTTTTGTGTATGCATGCATTCATTTGCTTTGGTGTGCTATGGGGGGTCAGAGGACAACTTACAGGCATGATTATCTCCTTTCACTAGGTCGGGCTCAAGAATCCAAATCAGATCATTAAGCTTGGCAGCAAGCATCCTAGCCTATTGATCTATCTCACTGGCCCCATTACTAAACATACTTAAAAGTGTTAGGATTTTATGTATTCTTTTTCAGGGGCAGTGTTGAGACAAGGTCTCTGTATTATGTAGCTCTGTCTGTCCTGGAACTCACTGTGGAAACAAAGCTGACCTCAAACTCACAGAAATTCACCTTTCTCTGCCTCCCCAGTTTGTTTTTTTGGTTGGTTGTTTTTGACATAAGGTGTCTATGTAGAACAGGCTGACCTTTGGAACACACAGAGATCTGCCTCCCTTTATCTCCTTAATGCTAGGAAACTAAAGCATGGGCTTCCCAGTGGTATGGCCAACCAGTTTCCACATGACACTACCCACATAGGGGAATGGGTGTCAGAGCTCAGGTTTTACTTATGCTTCTGTAGGATCTTAGACCCAGCACACTATGTTTATCTCTGGTTACCAGTCTACATTAATTATTGAGTTGGGAAATACTCATGTATAAACCCCTAAAAACACATTAAGAACTGTGATGGTTCATAAAAGTGAACCCATGTTTAAAGCCAGGTCTCACATGACTACAGAAAAGCTAACACATAACTCCCATATCTAAGGAAAGATGTGGACAGCCACACACAAGAGACTTATATAACCCTGAGAGAGATGAGCAGGAAGTCTTTCCTCAGGCTGGCCAAGATGGCTCAGCTTTAGAGAAGCTTTCTACCAAGTCTAGCAACCTGAGTTCAATCTCTGGGACACCCATGATAGGAAGAGAGAACCGACTTACAGTTTGTCCTCTGACTGCGACATGCACACTACAATAGGCTGTTTGGAAAACAGCTCAGTAGTTAAGACAGCATAATACTTTTGCAGAGGATCTAAATTTAGTTCCCAGCAACCATTATCTGGCAACTCACAACCACCTGTAACTACAACACCAGGGGACTAAACACCATCTTCTGGCCTTCACAGTCAACCAAACTCATGTGTACATGCCCACACAGAAACAAAAATCATTCTTAAAAAACAGTTGGGCATGGTGGTGTATACTTTTTATCCCAGTGCTCGGCAAGCAGAGACACACAAATCAAAAGTAAGTTCCAGGACAGCCAGAGCAACCTACAGAGACCTTATCTCAAAACAAATGAAAAAAAAAAAAAAAAAAAAAAAAAAAAAAAAAAAACAGTATCAAGGGAAAATGTGACTTGAATCATTTATTATTCTCCTTAAATTCATGGGGCTTCCTACAACTTGAATATCTTCATGTAGTTGAATTGAAATAAGTGAAAGGCTTTTCCACATAGGTTAGATGTTTTTCTCAACTGTTTCACATGTAAACATTAAGGCTTTAGAGTATATAAATCTTTCCTCCATTCCATATATGACTTACACATATAAAAATATATGTATATGTCATAAAGTTTATTTGTGGGCTACAGAAATGGCTTAGCAGTTATGCAGTTTCCCATTACCACAAATTAAACAGTCAAGTTTCCCATATTTTGGGGAAATGCAGGGGTCAAAACATTTTAGAGTACAACAAATAGGCCATGCCCTGTGAAAACCACTTTTATGATTTTCTGTCAGATACTACGTTTTTGAGACAGTATCTTAGTTACTATTCTATTGCTGTGACATCATGACCAAGGCAACTCTTATTTTATAGTTTTGGTTGTGAGCCTAGCCTTTAATGGCTGAGCCATCTCTCCAGCCTGGCAACTCTTATTTTTAAAAGCAGCAGCAGCATTTATTGGAGGCCTCCTTACAGTTTTAGAGGGTCAGACCATTATTTATTTTTGGTAGATAGGTATGATGCTGGTGCAGTAGCTAAGAGCTTATCTGCAGGCAGTGGACAGCAAGATATATTGGGCCTGGTATGGACTTTTGAAACCTCAAAATCCACCTCCAGTGACACCTCCTCCAATAAGGCCACACCTCCTAATCCTTCTCAAATAGTTACACTAATTAGGAACCAAGCACTCAAATATTAGCCTTTCTCATTCAAACCATCACAAATGGGATCTCAACCCAGACTCAAATTTACCACGTCAAGAGTAACTTTGAACTCCTAGTCCCCCTGAGTACTAGGATGCGAGGCATGTACAACAGTTTTGTTTCTTTTTGGAGATGGGTTCTCATGGCACCCAAGATGACCTCAAACTCACTATGTAAGCAAAACTGGCCTTGAATTCCTGATCATTCTGGCTCATATCCTCAAGCGTTAGGACTAGGTTAGTGTGACACTGTTTTCACACTATTTGTCTTTTTCAAATTGATTCAGCAGGGTGGTGGTGGCGCATGCCTCTAATCCCAGCACTGGGAGGCAGAGACAGGTAGATCTCTTAGAGTTCATGGCCAGCTTGGCCAGCCTGATCTATAGATCAAGTTCCAGGACAGTCAGGGCTACAGGGCTACATGGAGAAACTTTTGTTAAAAAAGGAAAAAAAAAAAAAAAAAAGGAAGGAAGGAAGACAAACAAAAGAGATTTATAGATTTATTCATTATTTTAGGGCATGAGTGTTTTACCTACATGTATGTGTAACTATCATTTTAGTCTCACCCCTTGATTTGATGTTTAAAGATTGGATATTGAAGAAAAATGTCTAACAAAAAGAAACAAAAGCAAGCACAGGTTTTAAACTCAATCATATTTCCGCCTCCCAAATTTTAGGGTTGTACAAATGGGCCACTGCACTCAGACCTGCATGTAAGTAAAGCTTTTGGATAGTCTAAAGGTTTACTTTATTTATTTTTATATATATGAGCTTATGAAACTAAGTAACAGACCAGGTACCTTGGAGACTGGAAATCAAAGATCAGCATAACTCAGCTAGTTTCCTCTGGAGGCCATAGTATTTCTTCTTGTGGTAGCCATTTTTCTCTATTTGTAGGCCATTTGAAGACTTCCTATGGTCTTCTCTGTATGCATCCTGCTGCACCTTAACCTTCTGAGGACATCAGTCACTCTTCCCTAATGGACTTACTGCAACTTCCTTTCCCCTTTCCTTGTTACCATCTTTATGTGTGTAAGTATTTTTGCCTATACATGTGCACTCTATGTACACTGAGTGCTCAGAAACCAAAAGAGGGTATCAGATTCCCTGCAACTAGAGTTATGTGAAGGCTGGGAATTGAACCATGTCCTCTGCAAGAGGAACAGGTGCTTGTAACTGTCTGGGCCATCTCCAAGAGTCCCTCGTTTTAGTTTTTAAAATGTGTTATTATTGGGGGCTGGAATGAGGGCATGTGTGCCCCAGCATTCATGTGGAGGTCACAGGACAGCTTGTAAGTGCCAATTCTCTCCTTACCCTGTGGAGACCTAGGGAAAGAATGCAGGCTGTCAGTATTGTATGGAGAATGTTTTTTTCTGCTGAGCCATCTCAACAACTAACATTTTAATCCTTTAAGATTTTATTTATTCTACAGCATATGTGGGAAAGTGAACTAACATATGGAGGCCAGAGGACAAATTTAATGCATTGGTTCTTCTACCTTGTTGAGGCAGGGCAGAGCCTTTCTTGTTTTTTCAGCCATGCTGCATACTCCAGGCTAGCTGGCCTATAAGCCTCCAGGTGATTCTCCTTCCTCTGTCTCCTATCTTGTAGGACTGCTGAGAATACAGATGCATGACACTGTATCTGTCTACTTTACTTAGATGTGGATCAAATTCAAGTTGTAAGACATTCACAGCAAGTACTTTTATCCACTGAGCCTTCTTGTCAGCATTCATTTTAATTTTTTTGATATAGAGTATTTTTGTTACCCAATATGGCTTTAAATTTATCCCCCATCTTCAGCCTCCTGAGGAGCTGTCACACAGTACTGCTCCAAGCTATGGATATAATTATAATAGTCTCTCTCAAGTGTGAGTACCATCATGTCTTCAAAGTAAACTAAAGCAAATAATTGCTTTCTCACATAGCTAACATCAATTAGGCTTCTCACTAGTGAGTTCTTTCATGCCTTCGAAGTGAACGAGGATGGCTATAGGCTTTTCCACATTGCTGACACTTATATGGTTTTTCTTCTGTGTGAGTATGACTTATTTCATGAATTCTGAAGGAGCTGGGACAGATGAAAGCTTTCCCACACTCCCTACATTCATAGGGCTTCTCTCCAGTGTGGGTTCTTTCATGTATCTGAAATGAAGTGGAATGACTGAAGGCTTTTCCACACTGCTTACACTCATAGGGTTTTTCTCCAGTGTGGATTCGCATGTGAATTTTAAGGTGAGTGGAATAGTTAAAGGCCTTCCCACACTCCTTACATGTGTATGATTTTTTGGTACTGTGAGTTCTCATGTGATTATTAAGACATGAAGGATATCCAAATGCTTTCCCGCAAATCTTGCACTCACATGTCTTCTCTTCGGTATGCATTTTCAAATGCCCATTAAGATTTGAAGAGATAGCAAAGGCTTTCCCACATTTGACACACACAAAAGGCTTTTCTCCTGTGTGAGTTCTTGTATGTTGAATAAGTCGTGAGGATGTAAGAAAGGCTTTCCCACATTCCTTACATTCATAGGGCTTATCACCATTGTGAGATCTTACATGTATACTAAGACCTGAGTACTGAGTGAAAGCTTTCCCACACTGATTACATACATAGGGTTTCTCTCCAGTGTGAGTTCGTCCATGTATCTGAAATGAATTGGAATAATTGAAGGCTTTCCCACACTCTTTACATTCATAAGGCTTCTCACCAGTGTGAGTCCGCATGTGAATATTTAAATATGCAGGGTATCTATAGCCTTTCCCACATTCCTTGCATCTGTAAGGTTTCTTTGCATTGAGAGTTTCTATAAGCACAGCAAGTCTTGAGTTTATAAAACTTCTCCCATATTCATTCCAATCATAAAGTTTGTCTCCATTGTGAGTTCTTCTTCTATGTGTCTGAAGGTGTGACTGATTAATGAAAGACTTCCCACAGTCACTGCACTCCAAATATTTCTCTTGTGTAGCAATTTTCTGATTAATCTTAACTGGGATCATATAGGTTTCTTCACTCTGATTGAACTCAGAAAGTTTCTTACCAGCACAGTTTTTCTTCTGAACCATTAGAAAATCTTTTCTATCCTGACTACAATCATAATTATCCTGTGTAGTTTGAGTTTTCGTATGTGTTTTAAGGGATGAGAGATCACTGACGAATTCTCCAGATTTTGTCCAGTTATAGAGCTCCCTTCCACTCTGGCTTCCTGTCTGCTGATAAGAGCGAAGAACAACATTTTTTTTTTTTTTTGCAGTCAATTGATAAAGTTATAGCCATTAGATAACAAAACAACAAAACAAAAAATTATGATTATTTTTTGCTACATGTGAAATGTGGACTATATAGTTCGTACTTTGTTAACTGCTCAAAAGTGGTGTGATTACATCCCCCATGGAGGGATAACTGCCTTAATCTAGAGACAGGAGAGAAGCCCTAGTCCCTACTTCACATGACCTGTCAGATCTACATGACCCCAACTGGATGGCATTCCCCAACATATGAAATTGGGGTGGGGGGGATGGGAGGGTGGTTAGAGTGCATGTGAGAGGGCAGAGAGGGTAAAAGGGAGGGAAGGAGGAAGAGAGGAAGGGAGGGAAGGAAGGAGGGAAGGAGGGAGGGAGGGAGGGAGGGGGAACTGGGATCGACATGTAAAATAATAAACTAAATTTAAAAAAAAAAATGCTTTGACTCCAAAATTTAAGTTCAAGGGCAGTTACTGGGGAAAAGGATTTTTATTTTTGTTTCCACAGAAAATGAAAAGATGTGGATTCCTTCCGGACTAATGTGGTTTGATCAAGCCAGACCACCTGAAACAGAGTACCAGGTGATCCTACATTCAAAACAGCTGGACAAAGCAGCCTTACAGACTACAGCCAGGATTTCTGAATCTTCTTTGAATCCACCATGACAGCACCCCTTACCAGCAGGAAGTAGTTTGGAAAGAACAACACCCAAATTCCCAAATATTGTCTATAAATGTTTGTTTTCATTTAAATGGACTTAGTTATATTAAATAAATAGATAAATAGATAAATAAATAAATAAATAAATAAATAAATAAAAGAACTAGATGGAGGGATGCTCCCTTAACCTAGTCCTTACTCCAAATGACTTAACAGATTTTGTTGACCTCTCCTGGAAGATACCACCCTCCCTGTGGAGTTGTGGGGGAAATGGGATCAGAGGGAGGTCGTGGGGCATGGGAGGGAGGGAGAAATGGAGGGAAGGAGAGAGAGGGAACTGGAATCGATATGTAAAATAAGAAAAAAATAAATGAATCAATAAAAAAAAGAGTGGTGTGATTAAACACTCCACTGTGTCATCTGGTCTAATCTTTAAAAAATTTCTATACCATTCCAAAAAAAAAAAAAAAAAAAAAAAAAGATGTAATTTGTATGAGTTCTGAAGCAGTAAGTTTCATTACAAACCAGGGGCACAATTTCATATTATTTCTTCAGACATTTGCTCTTGGGTATTATCTGCTTCTCTCAAATCTCCTTTAATGAAATTGCTAGTTTTCTCCCTCAAAGGGCTTCAAGCCTCTAATTTTCTTTAAGAATAAAATAATTTTTTTTATTCTTACCATTTGCATCCCATTGGATATGTTACCCTTCAAAAATTCCTGCTGGAATGTTGAACATTTGGTTTCAAGCTGCATTTTCCACTCTGAAGTAAAATAGAAAAATAAATGTAAGAGTTTGGAGAAAGAAATGGAAAATGGGAATTAAAAAATAAGGCTCGAGCTAGAGAGATGGATCAGTGGTTAAGAGCACTGACTACTCTTCCAGACCATCCAGGTTCAATTCCCAGCATCCACATGGTAGCTAACAACTGTCTATACCTCTAAGATCTGACACCCTCACACAGACATCTGTGCAGGCTAATACCAATAAAATAAAATAAAAATAAATTATGTTTTTAAAAATAAGGTTCATTTATTTTTATTTTGAATTTTAAAAGGTATAAGAAAGTAGAAACAGATGAGGATATTTTTCTATTCTATTCATGAGACTGAGCATCCAAGCCTTGAACTCACTACACAGTCCACACTGTGCTGACTTCATAACCATTCTGCCTCAGCTTCCTGAGAATTATAGGACTGTGCCATCATGCCAGGCAAAGATAATGACACTGAATCAAATTTTTATATAGTATTAAAAGTTGATTCTATAAAAATTAAAACCGATGGTAAACAGAAAGAAATCAGGGAAAGGGAGTAGAAAATTCTAGAAAAAGAGCATCTCTCAAAGCAGTAAGTTTAAGTAAACTAAAAGAATATTGGAAGTTGAAGATTTTCCTTCTTGCTTCAGAGTTCTAAGACAAATTTTATCTTGAACAACTTTATTATAAGAGCTGGACTATTTAAACAGATAAAGTATTTATTGTATGTAAGGCTGAGCCTGATAGCATGTGTCTGTAATGCCAGTACATTTATGACAAGATGGGAGATGGAAGAAGGAAAATCATGAAGGCTGCTGGCCTAGCACATAGTAAACAAAGACACTGGCAAATGAAGTAGAAAGTGAGAACAGACATGAAAGGTTGCTCTCTGACTCGAAAATACATACTGTGGCAACCAACCAACACACACACACACACACACACACACACACACACACCATACACAAATATACAAGGATTTTTAGAGTTTTTAAAAATATTTGTTATCCATTCATTCACTTACTGAATGTGTGTGTGTGTGTACATATATAAGTGTGTCATTGCATGTATGTAGAGGTCAGCAGACTCTGGGGAGTTGGTTTTCTCTTTCCACCAAGTGGATTCCAGGGATTGAACTTAAATTATCAGGCATGGCTGCATATGCCTTTACCTACTGAGCCATCTCTCCAGTCCAACACAAGGGTTTTGTTTTTATTTTAAGTTTATTTCAGTTGTAAACATACCAGACTTTCATTAAATAGAATTTGCAAGCCCAGAGATGGTGGTACAAGCCTTTAATCCCAGCACTCGAAGCAGAGGCAGGTGGATCTCTGTGAGTTCAAGGCCAGCCTGGTCTACAGAGTAAGTTCCAGGACAGCCAGGACTGTTACACAGAGAAACCCTATCTCATGGGGGGAAAAAAGAATTTCCATGAATACTGACCTGGGAAAACTATCTTCTGACCTGTACTAAACTCTTCTTGTTCCAACCAAGAGACCAGACTTGGTTTGATGAGCTCATATCCTGTTCACAAGGTAAGACACATTGGTGAGAAGGCTCAGACAGAAAAATGACGGAACTTCCCAGGGTCCAAGATTAGAATTTTTGCTTTTTTTTCCCCCTTGTTTTGAGACCAGTGGGCTTCAAGCTCAAAGAAATATTCATTCAGCCTCTCAGTGCTTGAATTGTGCCACCAAACTTGGCTGGGGACTAGAGTTGTAACGATAACAGAGAAATTATTTTTAAGTGGCTAGTAATAAAAGTACCACCTGTCTATGCCTCAGAAGTTAGTTTGTTCTGGAGCATGAGACCCCAATTAATTTAGTCATCTATACATTTACAAAGCACTGGAGTTTTCTTTCTATAGTACTTTGGATTTGCACCCATGGCCCTGCAAATGATAGGTAGATACTCAACCACTGAGTCATATCTCAACCCAGGAGTTTACTTTTAATCAAACAGGAAGTAAGAACTGCAACAGCCAGGATCCCAGTACATTAAAACATATTTAGAGTGGGATACACCTTTAATTCCAGCATTCAGAAGGCAGAGGCAAAGGTTTTATCTGTGAGTTTGAGGTCAGCTTATTTTACCTACTGTAGCCTACCTACTGTGGCCAGGTTCTGGTAGTTCTCCAACATCACGTCTTTGTAGAGGTATCTCTGGGCTGGGTTCAGGGAGGTCCATTCCTCTTGAGTAAAATGCACAGTCACATCATTAAAGCTCACTAACTCCTGAAATATTGCAGACATGCTGGTTTTAGCCAAATAAGATCTTTGTTAATGAACATGAGGATGAGGAAATGGGACCTACACCTACAGAAAACTCCCTAGCCTCCACTTATGTGTTAAGATGTTTTCCCCAATTAATTCTTCACCTTATTTTCTGACAGAGTTTTTCATTAAACCTAGAAATTGCTGTTTCAGCTAGACTGGTTAACCAGTGAGTCCTGGAATCTATCTGTCTTCACCCCTAACCCTTAAATTATATCCATGCACAGCCATGCAAGTTTTACATGGGTGCTGGGGATCAAAACTCAGGTTCCTGTATTTGCACAAGCCCTTTACCCACTGAGTCATCTCATTAGGACCCTACCCACCTTTTTGCTTTGTTAGGGATTGAACCCAGAAACCAGGCTGAGCATGCTAGGCAAGAACTCTACCACTGAGCTCTATCCTCAGCCCTAATTTCCTCAAGTTATAGGGCACTACTGAATAGGAACAGGTACCAGCAATACATAGAAAATATTGAGGTATTTTTCTATAAGGACAGTGGCCAGCATTTCCTAAAGACATGATGAGCATGTGACATGAATAATGTCTGTAGAAAAGGAGACTGTCACCTACCTTATCATGTGCCAGAGAAGTCAACAATGGAAGAAACATTCAGTTGACCAGGAACCAGCAAGATGGCTCAGTGGGTAAACTCACTTGCCATCAAGCCTAATGACATGAGTGTGATCCTCAGACACACATGATGCAAGGAGAGAACTGACTTCTGCAAGTCCACACTGTGGACTCACATAAACATTTGCATCTATACATGTGCATTTGCATGCCCAGCCATACACATATGTAATAAAAAAAAAAAAACTAAAGATAAAGCCAGGTTATTACTAAAAAGTCAGGACTGCCTGTAAGCTTCCAACTCACTTAACAGGAAAAGTTTTGTTGTAACTCACTATCAACTTGACACAAACCTAGATGTATCTGGGAATAGGGAGTCTTGATTGAGGAACTACCTTCATCAGAGTGGCCTGTGGGGCATTTTCTTGATTTCTCATTGAAGAAGGAAAGTCCAGCCCATTGTAGGTGGTACCATTCCTTGGTAGGTAGATCTGGGATATGTAAGAAAGGTAGCTGAGCAAGCCAGGTGCATGCACCAGTAAACAGATCACATTACTGGTCTCTACGTCAGTTCCTGCCACAAGTTCCAGCCTTGGCTTGCCTCAGTGCTAGGTTATGATCTGAGAATTGTAAACTGAAATGAACCCATTTTCCCTACAAGCTGCTTTTGGTCCTGGTGTTTATCATGGCAACAGAAGGTAAACTACGACAGGCTCCATCTCTCAGGAAACTATAACAGAGAACTAAATCCTTAGGTGAGGTTCTATTTGCTTTAAATAGCTCTAGAGATAGATTTGTCCAGAGGAAATTGTCTAAAGGTGGAGCATTTTCAATGTGTGTGTATGTGTGTATTTTTTTTTTTTTACCTGAGAATTTGTCAGGCAGTTAGTCAACATCCTTTCTGCTGATACCTTTTCTTTTTGAAGGCAGACTGAGTCCCCTGAAAGATCTTATGGAAAAAGAAGCAGGTATGAATACTCAGTTGTCCATAATTTCATTCTTAGCCACAGAAGTCATTCCACCCTACTACAAAAGCCTTAAGTAGTCAATCTAACTACATACTGATGTCTCCCTCCCTCCTATCCTCCATCTTTCTTGTTCTATGTCTCTCAATGTCTTCCTCCCTCTCTCCCTCACTTGCTACCCACCACACACACACACACACACACACACACACACACACACACACACACACACAAACGTTCTTCCTCACCTGTATGTGCCACAGAATGCTAGAGCAGTCCTGTCCCATCTACAAAGAAGGATGGCAAGGAATGCTTCTTATTAGGATAACTCCATTAATAACAGCCTCATTTCACAAGTATGGAGGCTTTATGCCCTGAAAATGCTACTTTATCAGGGCTGGAGCTAGAGTTCAGTCAGTATAGTAATTGCCTAGTATGTATGAAGCACCAGGTTCCATCTTAGCATAAAAATGGACATGATGGTGCATACCTGTCATCCCAGCTCAAGAGGTGGAAGCAATAGGATCAGAAATTCAAGACCATTATCAGTTACCTAGCAAATTAAATGTCATATGGACTTCATGGTGCCCTATCTCAAAAAAGAAAAATGCTGGGGGATGAAGAGATGGTTCAATGGCTAAGATCACTGGCATCTCTTCTAGAGGACCTAGGTTCAATTCCCAGTATCCACATGTCAACTCAAAACTGTATAGTTCCAGGAGATCTGACACCCTCTTCTGGCCTCCATGGGAACTACACACACAATGCATAGACAAATACTAGACATACATATAAAAATAAAATCTAAAACAAAAAAATGGTACTTTGTCATGGTTATAAAACTTATAATGAAGACAGCACATTTTCCTTATAACACACTCCAGAGACATTACAAATATCCCTGTGGGTCAGCAAGTGAGTAAAAATCTTGCTACTAAATCTGTCAACCTGAGTTCATTTCCAAAGACCCACATGATAGGAGAGCACTGACTTGTAAAGGTTGTACACACACACACACACACACAAAACAAAGAAAGATCCCTTTTTTAAAAAAAAGTATTGTAGCTAATGACTGAGGAAAACACCCAATGTGGACCTTTGATCTCCACATGCGCACATTAGTGTGCACACACACATGAACATGTATACACACACACACACACAAAGAAAAAAAAAAATCCAAAAAAATAGAGACAAAATCCTTGGAGCATATTTCAAGTACTAGATCCTCAGTTGAAAACACTCAAATCATATAATTTTGCCCTTTCCTCTTCACTGGCAAACTCAGACTCTGCACAGCTGTTACCTACCCAGTATCTTCTCAAAGCACTACCTTTTTGTTCTCAAAGCAAAACCACATGAGTATTGGTGTTTTGTCTGCACATATGTCTATGTACCAAGTATGTACCTAATGTCTGCAAAGGTCAGAAGAAGGCATTTGATTCCCTGGAACTGGAGTGAGACAGTTGTGAGCCACAACTTGGGTATTGGCTGCCCTTTTGCAAGAGCAACAAGTTGAACCATCTCTGCAGTCCTGAAAATTCCCAGGGGAAACTTAGGAATTCTTCTGAAAAACAAAATCAGCAGACCTTACCATGGGATTAATCAGTTGCTGCCATCCTGTAACAGGGAAGTGGGTCTGAACAGTCCTTTCACTGGGGCTATCATCACTTTAGTGCAGCTAGTAAGTTTCAGTGCACAGTGGAACTCTCCACTACCTGTTGTATACAACCATTAGCATTCCTGTAATATGAGCCACTAATTAACATGAATTACTTAGTCATTATCTGTCAATTGTCATACATTAGCTGTATACAAAATGTACACATGAAGATCACTAAATATAGTACTCTCTGAAATATGAATTCCAGAGATACTAGTAGCTGCCATTTACTGAGTGTGCAAGAAGTATGTATGTATGTCGATTAATCATTATAATCACCCTTCCCAGTAAATATAATTGCCCTAAAAAGATCTACATTCAAAGCCAAGTATATATGGTGGTGCACAATGTAATGCCAGTGCTGTGGAACAATCTTTTTGTACACTATGAATATTTGTCGCTCTCATTGGCCTAATAAAGGGCTAAATGGCCAATATCTAGGCAGGGTAGGTGGGACTTGTGGATAAAAAGAGAGTACAGGGATGAAGAAGGGTGAAATTGCCATTCAGAAGCAGAAGTAGATGAACATGCCGTTTAAAAAAAAAAAAAAAAGTACCAACATGTGGTATACCACAAGAAATATGGGTTAGTTGAAAGACCTAGTTAGTAACATTTATAATTAATAAGTCTCTGTATGGCTGGCAGGACAGAAAATTCCACCTACATGCCAGCCCCTGGGAGGCTGAGTCAGGGGAATTGCTGTGAGTTCAAAGCTAGCCCAGGATACAAAACAAAACTTGACTCAAAAAGACATGGAGCTGGCAAAATGGCACATCATACATTACATATACACACAGAGAGAAAATAATCATAAAATTTAAAAGAAAACAAAACAGAAAAAAATCTATATTCAGAGAGCATTAGTGATTGCTCATTTATCATCCAGTTTAGAAATGATGATGCAGGACTTGAAGACTGGTATTCTTTCGTTAGTATGCAAACTTGTTCTCATCTTTAACAAGTGGTAAAATACAATGAGCAGATGGTTATTTTTTTAATTTTATTTTTTTAACTTGTGTGCATGTGTTCTGTATATGTAGAAGCCAAAAGGTGTCTTCCCTATCTTTATCCACCCATTCATTTAAGGTGGGGTCTCTCCTGAACCTGGAGCTCACAGTTTCTCAGCTATGCTGAAAGCCAGCAAGCTCCAGTGAACCTCTCTCCATTCTCCTTAGGACTGAAGTTAAAGATGTTAACTGGACACCTCGTTTGATACATGTGTGTGCTCAGATCCACAGCAAATGTTCTTAAACACTGAGCCACTTTATGGACCCAAAGTAATTCTTTTGCTTTCAAGTAAATTTTTGTTGGTGGTATTTGATTCTGTTTTGCAGATGTGGGAGATGGAACTCGGGATCTCATGCTGGGTACACAAGAGTTCTATCCCTGACATATATTACAGTATTAAATGTAAGAATATTTGAAAAGAGGGAACCTCAAAACATAAATTTAATGGTAAGCAACCTCAGCAAGTCTTGGTAGGAAAGACTGAACTCAAAAGCCATGCCTTCTCCTCCTAGTACAAAGAAGGCTAGAGCAAAATCAGTTCTGTTCAACACCTATTTTAGGGGTCTTTTTAGAAAACCATCTTTTAGCAATTTTTCATTTTAGGATTTGTTTGCTGGGCTGAAACAAGGTCTCACTATATAGCCTAGGCTAGCCTCCAACTCACAGCTATCTGCCCACTCAGTCTCTCAAATTCTAAGATTATAAGCAAGTACCACCAGCATTATTCCTTCCTTAGGTAATAAGGTAGGAATAGTATTTCATAGTGCTTAATTTTTTTCCACTGGAGTTTGCTTTTACTTCCTTCTCAGTTCCCCTCCCCCCCCCTTCCTGAGAATGGTTTCTGTGTAGCCCTCGCTAAGCTAGAACTTGTTCTGTAAATCAGACTGGCCTTGAACTTACGGATCCACCTGTCCCTACCCTGCCCCCCCCCCAGGTTGTTTAAAAAAAAAAACCAAAAAAAAATAAATAAATAAAACAAGATCTCGAGTCCTAGGCTAGCCTCAAACTCACTATGTAGCCAAAGTTGGCCTTGAGCTTCTACTCCTCTTGCATCCATCTCTTAAGTGCTAGAGTTAACATAGATGTGTGCCACCATGCCCACTTTATGTGGTAATTCTGATCAAACTCAAGAGTTTTGTGCATGCTAGGCAAGCACTCTACCAATTGAGTTACACCCTCAGCCCTCCTTTTGTTTTATCATTAAACATTATGTAATTAAAAACCAATTATGTGGACTGGAGAAATGGCTCAGCTGTTAAATCCTAGGCTCACAACCAAAAATACATATTTAAAAAAAAACATTTTCATTAAAATCTAATGGCAATCATTGATGAATCAAACCCATAACAGCAGTCCAACTGTAGTATAAGTTACACAGTTCATTTGGTTATCTATAAAACAAATTCACTCACAGAAACCTTACATGGGCCCTATTCCACAGATCAGACTAAAATATTGACTCTAAGATATTAGAACTCAAACACATGCATCTTTGGGGGAAGGGGGGGAAGCATGTGTCATGTGCATAAAGCCTAGAAGACATTGGATGGCCTGCTCTACCACTTCCCACCATATTCCAGAGACAGCATCTCTACTAAACCTTCAGCAGGTAAGCCCTGGCAATCCTCCTTTCTCTGCCTGTTATACTACTGAGCCTACAAGTACACAAAGGACTATGCCATGGATATTGAACTGCTTCTCATGCTTGTACAGCAAGTGTTCTTAATCACTGAGCCATATACACACATCTTAACTATGCCCTGGAGTTTTGACAATGGCTTATGTTGCAACACATGCCTAAACAAGGTTTAAAAAATACAAAACAAAACAACAATAACAACAAAAAATCTCTACAGAAAGCCTACAGTCCTCCCTTCCCAGTCCTTTCTTGAACTTGTGATATTCATGTTTCAGCCTTGAATTACAAGTACTTGAATTACAGGTATGTATCACAATGTCTGGCTCCCAGACAAACATTTCTATTTTCTTTTCTCTACTAGATATAATAAATCTGTAAATGAAATTGGGACAAGTTGTTCATTTTTTTTCTAAATGTTGATTGTGGAGGCAAAAAGACAAAAATAAAAAACAAAATTCCTCACTCTTGCTCCAGTGACTTGTGATTTTTTATCCAATGAGACCTTAACTCTTATTAAGTCCAAATGGCCAATATTTCCCCCCTTTTATTAACAATTAGTTTTCTAGTACAATACACCCCGATTACACCAATCTTAAGAGGACAAATGCTTATAAAGCTTACTATCTAACAGGATACTAAATTATCTTCTTTTATCCCAATGACCCCACACAAAT